CATTTCTGTAAGGAATCCTGATTTCTTTTATTATAGAGAAGTTTCTACCTGAAATTATATTATTTCTCTACATTTTGTCTATCTCCTGATAGAATATTATTAGGTCCTTTAAACCAGGACCTTTTCTGTTTGTTCATTGCTCTATCTCTATTACCTAGAATTGTATCATAGTATCTGCATATAGAAGGATATCAACAAAAATTTACTGAGAGAATAAATAAGGCTAAGCTTATACTTTTTTTGCAGAGGGCTTCTTTTTAGTTATGCAAGACAGTAGAGTCTATTTTGACATACTTATATAAAAAATGGAGTATATCTTATTCTGATTAGGATCCCAGCCTTGTGGATGTATACGATGTTGAAATTCACTGGGGTGTATTCATATACGTATATAGGAAAGTTATGTTGGATTCATTCCATTGTCGTTCCTATTCCTATCCCCCCTTCCCTTTGTCTAATCCACTGAACTTCCATTCTTCCCCTCTCCCCAAAGCTTATCTTTTTTTTTTTTTAATTTTCTTTAGTTGTAGATGGACACAATACCTTTATTTTTATGTGGTGCTAAGGGTTGAACCCACTGCCCCATACATCTCAGGCAAGTGCTCTACCACTGAGCCACAACCCCAGCTCTAAAGCTTCTATCTTTTTTTTTTTTTTTTAGTTTTAAGTGGACACAATATCTTTATTTTTTTTAATGTGGTGCTGAGGCTCGAACCAAGTGCCTCATGCATGCTAGGCGAGCACTTCGCCACTGAGCCACAAACCCAGCCCATAATGCTTTTTATATATACATTCTTCATGGTGTTATGACAGACATAAGAATTTGATCAAAGGAAGATGTATAGAGGATGGACACATGGATGTATGAATGGACAAATGAATGAATGAGTGACTAAATAGATGGATAGATTACTGGATGTCTGAATGAATTAAGAAGTGGATGAGGGCTGAGGTTGTAGCTCAGTGCTTGCCTAGCACATGTGAAGCACTGGGTTCAATCCTCAGAACCACATAAAAACAAATAAATAAAATAAAGGTATAGTGTTCATATACAACTAAAATTTTTTTTAAAAAATTTAAAAGTTAAAAAAAAAGAAAGTGGATGAAAGTTGGTGTCATTGCTATGCACTCTGATTATTTATGATAAAACTGGGTGGTGAGGAGCCGCATTCATTCTTGGTTCTCTACACTATTACCTCCCACATTCACTCAAACCTTACATCCTGCTAATTTTATATCTTTTTTTTTTTTTTTTGGCACTAGGAATTGAACCCAGGGGCACTTAACCACCAAGCCACATCCTCAACCCTTTTTTATATTTTATTATATTTATATTTTATTACATTAACTCGCTGAGTTGCTTAGGACCTCATCAAGTTGCTGAAGCTGGCTTTGAACTCACAATCTGCTCTTTTTTTAACTTCTTGAGTTGGATTTTTTTTTCAGCTTTTGTTTTTCTTATACAAGCATTTAAATCCATACATTTCTCCATAAGTATGACTTCCATGGCTATCTTTCCTTTCTTTTTTCTGGTACTGGGGATTGAACCCAGGGCTTTGTGCGTGTTAAGCACGTGCTCTACCTCTGAGCTGCATCTCTAGCCCCATCTTTCATTTCTAAATATCTCCGTTTTGATTTCCTTTTTGTCCCATGAGTCTAGAAATGTTTTCAAATACATGAGGTCTTTGTTATCTTTCTGTCATAGAGTTCTAATTAATTTGAGAAAGTGGTCTATTGATTTTTTTGATATCTGATGAATGCACTCTGTGGCTTTGTTTTTTTTTTTTATCAGTTTCTTTTCTTTCTTTCTTTTTTTTTTTGTTATCAGTTTTTTTTTTTTTCCGATGGTCCATGGATGCTTGAAAAGATCATTGTTGGCTGCTTCATGGTGTTACGATAAGGACAATATTAGGTAAAACCTACAAAACACTTAAAACAGTGGTTAGCACTTAGTAAAATCTCAAGAAATGATGGCTCTCGTTTTTGTTGTTATTATTATTGGTGGTGGATGATAGTTTCAGTCATTGCTCCATGTGTCACTAGGTGCCCTGGAAATTGAAAAAATTGATTCCTCTCCTGCAAATCACTGCTCTACCATAGGGTTAATGAACCTTTTGACAAACATAAAAAGCATCAGTTAGTTCGTTATAGTATAAAAAGATCAAAAACCAGTCTGACCTCAGCTGGGGCCCTGGTTTGGCCCCTCACTTGCTGTGTGACCCTTCCCGGACTTCCCTGTCCCAAACTCTACTTTCCTTACAGGTATGGTCCCAGATTTGCAGGGTTGTTGGGAGGAGTAATATGAAAGCCTTTAGCATAAGGCTGGGCACAAGGTAGACCTTGGAAGAGTATAGGTTTATTTCTCTTTGTTCCACTGAGCCTATTTCCCTTTCCTGCCACTGAGTTACTCCCTGAGGGTCAGAGAAGAAGTGAAGTTAGAGATGTAAAGGTACAGCCATATCCTCTCTCCTTTCCTGGACTTCTTTCCTTAGAAAACCTCCTTCCTATTCCTATAAGACTGCACTTCTCTGATGCCCTTCCCCAGAGAGCAGCTTGAAACCAGCTGTGACTGAGGGAGAAAGGAGAGGATGTTGGCACATGCAAATCAGCACCCAGCCTCCTGCCGAGTTAGCATGACACCTGCTTAGACAGAATTTTTATTTTATCTCTTATCTGGAGCAGCCCAATTAATTTTTTCAAGCTACTAGTTACCATATTCTGCAGATGACAACTCCTCACATCCTAGGTGACAGCAGGGTCATCCTCCTTGGTGACTACACAAATTAGGGATTTGTTCCTGTGCCCCCCCCTTTTTCTTTTGGTACTGGGGATTGAACCTCCAGAGGCACTCAACCACTGAGCCACATCTACAGCCCTTTTTTAAAAAATAGTTTATTTAGAGACAGGTCTTGCTGAGTTGCTTATGACCTCGCTGGCTTCAAAGTTGCTGACGCTGGCTTTGAACTCATGATCCTCTTGCCTTAGCTTCCCAAGCCGCTGAAATCACAGGCATGTGCCACCCTTTTCCAGTGAGTTATTGCTCTTGATAAGGTCTTTACCAGCTTTTTATTAAGGACAGATTTTTTTTCTTTTTTAAAGTTATTTTTTTAAGAAATATTTTTTTAAAGAGAGAGAGAGAGAGAGAGAGAGAGAGAGAATTTTTTAATATTTATTTTTTAGTTTTCAGCGGACACAACATCTTTGTTTGTATGTGGTACTGAGGATCGAACCCCGGGCCGCAAGCATGCCAGGCGAGCGCCCTACCGCTTGAGCCACATCCCCAGCCCTTAAAGTTATTTAAAACCTCCCATGGGCTAGGCCTTGGAACTGAAGGGCCCTCTGTTTTCTTACTTATTCTGGGATTAAGAAATAGAAGCTGAATGCTCCAGAAAATAAAGGGGTGATGAATTTGGGGTTCCAGATTTTAAAAGATGAAGAATAAAGAGATTATAGTCAGTTGAGAGCAGGGTGATGGAATTGTGTCAATATAAGAGAATTGATATAGAATTGTCCAAATATAAGTTTTCAAGTAGAACCATGTTGTGACTATGCCCCCCATTACTATACACATTTTCATTAAAAACTTTTGAAGCCATGATGTGCAGTGTGACTCAATATCAGATGGACTAGTGAGGGGACCACAGGTATTATAAGGCTCACAGTGTGGACAGCCTCACATCTACGTTACATACTGAATATTGAAGAGTCTCACTGATCTTTCTGTCTCTGGCCTTGTATCTCTTTCAATGCCCCACTCTGTATAGCTGCAGAGTACATAAACCCACATCATTTCCCTGCTTAAATCCTTTAATGCTTTCCTAATCAGTGTTCCACTATCTTGGGCTTTATGGATCCATGGGGATACATTCTCAGGTGTTTTTAGAAGTTTACTATTTGCTTTAATTTCAGGATTAATCTTTAAAAAATAGTAATTTAAGTGTGGTCTATAATACCCAGATGGCCTTATAACTCAGAATTTTAAGGAGATTTTAGTGTCTTGGTTTGCACTATATTTATTGATTGGGTTGGTGCCAAAAGATCAGAAATGACAAATTTAACTTTTGTGGATTTTTTTTGGCAGTACTAGGAATTTAACCCTGGGGTTCTGTACACCACTGAGATATACCCCCAGCTCTATTTTATTTTGAGACAGGATCTTGCTAAATTACTGAGCTGCTTTGAATTGGAGATCCTCCTGTCTTAGCCCCCCAAGTTAAAGGGATGACAGGCATGCCACCACCCCTAGACCAAAATTTAACTTTTGATACTGTAATTATTTTTATTTTATTGTTAACAGAAACATCCTAAGCACCTAGAACAGCAGTGCTTTGTACATTGTAGATGTTCAATAAAGATTTCTTGAGTAAATGAATGAATGAAATTTTCAAACTAGGTTCTGAGATCCTTGGGGATCTTCTATAGTTTGAAATCTCCTCAGAATGATATGGAAGGCTCTTCACAATCAGACTAAGAATACTCAAGCAGTAATTTTGCCAGACAGTCTGGGCAGGATGTGGGGGTGTAACCCTTTTTAGAAAATAAAAAAAGTGAAAGTATAAAGGATTTATGTACATTTTGACAGGGCAGACATGATATGCAAATTACTTGCAAATATAATGCAAATGATGTGCGTCTACTCATGCAAATGAGCATCCTGTCTTTGGAATCAACTCTTAGGTATTCACTTATTTGTAGTACTGGCAGTAAATCTTTCAAAGCCTTGGAATGCTAGTTGCTTTGGTGGAGATGTGCATGTATTGTAGAGGAGGGGTTGGTGGGAAGGGGTCTCTCAAGGAGGAGTCAGTGTGGTATTGTAAGCCTGCAGCTTAGTATAGTATGAGGTTGAATATGGCATGTAACAATACAGGATTATTCTGCTATGATTCTGGCCATTTGGGTATTGGCTGAGAATTAGTGGTGGGGTCAGGGGAGACAAGGAAATTTGACTTCTTATATTTCTTTAAATCTTTGACCATCTCTCATCTTTTATTTCCTGCCAGACCCCCACCTCCAACCTCGGACCATCTGGACTCTGTTCTACAGGAACAAAGAATGGAGAGCCAGAGATCCCTGGCTTCAGGTTCTCACCATGAAGATGACAGAAGAGCAGGAGACAAGAGCTCTTGTAAATCATATCTGGAGGAGGCTAAGAGCATGATGTAGAGTTTTGCATTTGCCAATCTAATGACAAGCAGAATTCAGCTGAATTTCTAGGCCTGTTAGAAAAAGATGAATGGTTACAAGAAGGATGGGGATTTTCTGAGAAATATAACTGCTTAATCTCAATGCCAATGATGCAGTATCTGACAAAATTGGGAACCTTACTTGGAAATCTAAAGGAAAACAATGTCAATGGGTTTTTTCATTATAAAAATCTTCTAGCACCTACCCTTGGTGTAAAAGGAATTTTTCAGTTAGTGTGTAACCCTATTGATTATAAAGGCATTGAGAAACTTAAATAAAAGGCTTCTAGTAGATTGTATTTTTTAAAAAATATTTGTTTATTTATTTTTTAAATACTTATTTATTTGTTTGTATGTGGTGCTGAGGATCGAACCCGGGCCGCACGCATGCCAGGTGAGCGCGCTACCGCTTGAGCCACATCCCCAGCCCTAGATTGTATTTTTTAGAAAATTGTTTTAGTCGTAGATGGACACGATACCCTTATTTTATTTATTTATTTTTTATGTGGTGCTGAGGTTTGAATCCAGTGCATCACACGTGTTAAGCAAGTGCTCTACCACTGAGCTATAACTCCCGCCTATAGAAGTTTTTGTTTGTTTGTTTGTTTGTTTGTTTGTTTTTAATGTTTTAGACGTTGATGGGCCTTTATTTTATTCATTTATTTATATGCACTACTGAGAAAGTCTTCCTCTCTCTTCTCTCTTTTTTCTACTCTGCTGATCTACCTTTTATCTTTATGATATCAGATCCCCTTCCCCACCATCTTCTTTCCCTTATTTTCCTCTAGCTTCCACATTTTAGAGAAAACATTCTGCTCTTGATTTTCTGAGCCTGGATGATTTCATTTAGCATGATATTCTCCACTTCCATCCATTTACCAGTAAATATAATTATTTCATTCTTTTTTATGGCCAAGTAAAACTACATTGTGTATATATACCTCATTGCTGTATTGGAGATAGAACCCAGGACTTTATGTACACTAAAAAAGTGCTCAACCACTGAGCTACACTTCCAGGCCCAGGCACCACTCCCCATCCCATGATTGTTTGAGATAGGTCTAGCTATGTTGCTAAGGCTGGACTCCAACTTTGACTCACAATCCTCCTGCCTCAACCTTTAAGTAATTGGGATTATAGGAGCATGACTTTGCACCCAGTTTTTTAACTGACACACTAAGAATGCTTTTTTTACACTTTAAGATGGTTGTAAAACAGGTTGTAAAACCCAACCAAACAAAAAACAAGATAAAAAAACAAACAAACAAAAAAAAGTGTCAAGCTGGTATATGGCCCTCAAAGCCTAAAATATTCACTATCTGGCCCTTTATAGAAAGAGTTTTCCACCCCATGAGTTAATAACTATTTTGTTATAACTCGTGATTCTGTGGGCCAGGAACACAGGAAGGTTTGGCTGGGCAATTCTTTTGCTCTAGGTGATGTTGACTGGTATCTCTTCAGGGTGCTAAGTTGGAAGGATGATCTGGTCTGGGGGATCCAGGAAGATTTCAGTCACACGTCTGGTACATTGGCAGGATGGCCAGAAGGCTGGGCTTAGTTGGACCCCTTCCCATTTGTATGATGTCTCTTCACCATGGTATTTGGATTTATAAAAGAGTGGCTAAGACCTCTGAGAGAACAGACATGAAGCTCTCAAAGGCTAGGCTTATACCAGGTTAAGATTGCTTCTTCTGTATTTTATTGGTCACAGGTCAGCCTAGCCTAAATTCAAAGGGAGGGATAAACGGTTACAAGAAGGATGGGGATTTTCTGAGAAATATAACTGCTTAATCTCAATGTCAATGATGCAGTATCTGACAAAATTGGGAACCTTACTTGGAAATCTAAAGGAAATTCAATGACAGGAGTGATAAAGAATTTGAGGCTCTCTTTACCCGATGAATCAGTTTGTTCACTCACAATCACATTCCCAGTTCATAGCACATCACATGGAACATGAATTCAATAAGCTTATTAACTAGCCAACACACTTTGATAATAGAATCTGATGTATGTTAATATAAAATATCAGATTTGGAGCTAAATTAAGGCCAAGGTCTACTTGGACCCTTAGGGAGCACTCCATACCATGCTTTCTATTTGGGGGCTGCCAAGCGCCTAGCACTGTGCTGTGCCAGCACATTGGAACTTCAGTTTCCATTTTGGCTAATAAGATGCAACAAAACCTCTACCCCATAGAATTAAATGGCATAAGGAATGTGAGAAAGCTTTATTAATTGCAATATTCTACTTAATGTTAGGTTATTACTTTTGTCATTGTTTCCTAAGGTAGGGAATGAATGAAGCCAGATCTCCCCTAGATCTGCCCTCAGACAAGGGCCCCTCAATCTAGCCCACTTTCCAGCTCTTACTCCTGCTATTCCTAAGGAGCAGGTGTGAAAAGAATGAGACAGTGTTCCTATGGCTCTACAATCTAGTTTCAGCCAAGGAAGATTTATTTCCCTGCGGTGGTTTTAATGATGTTTCGATGGGACTCATAATTCCATAATGATCTTAGTGCCAGTGCCTCCCACCCTGGGTGTCTCTGCAGAGGCTATGGGGAAATGAAGAGCCACAGTGGCTAAACAAATAAGAATGATTAGTTGCATGTGGTCAGCCCCTTATCACCTGAGTTGGCCTATTGTGTACTCCAACATATGGAGCAATAAAGAAAAAACCCACATTCAACGGTCATCCTCACCCAGATCAAAGAATGCAGCATTCCTGGGGCTGGGGTTTGTGGTTCAGTGGTAGAGCACTCACCTAACCAGTGTGAGGCGCTGGGTTGGATCCTCAGCACAAAATAAAAATAAATAAATAAAATAAAGGTATTCTGTCCATCTACAATTAAAAAGAATTTTAAAAAAGAGAATACAGCATTCCCTTCCCCAGAAAAGCCCCGAAACCCTCTTTCCCAGAGACTCCCATACTTCTTTTCCTATCTCTCTCTCTCTCTCTCTCTTTTTTTTTCTGGAGGGAAGGCTTGTCAACTTGAGTAATACCTCTTCTTCCAACCTTTCTACAAAACTCCCAGACAGCCTGGGCATGATGTATAACATATGGGTGGTGCCTGGAGGTCTTAGAGTGAGATCATTACCTGGAATGTTTTACACACACACACACACACACACACACACACACACACACACACACACACACATTTATTTATTTTTTAGTGATAGGTGGACAAAATACCTTTATTTTATTTTTATGTGGTGTGAGGATTGAAGTGCCTCATGCGTGCTAGGCGAGTGCTCTACCTCTGAGCCACAACCCCAGCCCCCTACCTGGAATGTTAAGTAGATACATAAAGCAGGATCCCCTGTGTGAGCTTCCAAGTACCCACACATGCATTAATGCATGATTTAACTTTGCTCAGCCCCTAGCATGTTGTCTGCATAGCCAAGAGGCATGGAAAAGAATAGTACTAATCACTAAAATGTATTCAGCACTTACTGTGTGCTAGGTACAGAGTAGAGTGCTTTTTATGTATTCTCTTTCTCTCTCTTTTCTTTTTGAGATGGGGTCTAGCTGTGTTGCCAGATTGGTTTCTAACCCGTGGCCTCAAGAGATCCTCCATTCTCAACCTCCATAGTAGCTGTGATGTGATGACAAGTGTGTGCCACCATGCTGAGCTGTATCATCTCATTTAATCTCCATAACAATATTTGAGGCGAGACCTAAGTCTGTTTATAGATAAGGAAACTACCCTCTAAGGTTGGTTATAATTATGCAACCTGCATGAGAGGCAGTCAGGACTCAAACTTAGTTTGGTCAGATTCCAAAATCTGTTCTTAACTAGGTACTCTATTGGTGATTTTTATTTGCCACAAGTAATCTCACAATGCTTTGGTGCTTGGGAACTCTGATGGTGTCAGAGGAGGAAAAGTTTTACCCATTACTGGTTTGCTGACCTAGGACTGTGCCGGTGTGGTCAGTTCCTGCACCCAGCATGCCTGTGATTTCCTTGCAGCAGACGCCATCCTTTCTGCAGCTGTCTTCTTGGAAAGCAGCCTTGGCTCTTGTGTTGGGGTAGGTAAAGATAAGTCCAGGAAGAGAATCTATGTAGGCTGCTCTTCAACTCCACTGATTTTCAGTGGCCTTGCTTCTTAGACTCTTTCAGGTGGAGAGTGAAGATTGCATTGAACTATTGCAGTCAACCTGGCTGCCATAATTTTTTTTTTTTGAGCCACAACCCCAGCCCTATCTATTTTGAGATAGGTTCTTGCTGAGTTGCTTAACACTTCGCTTGGTTGCTGAGGCTGACTTTGAATTTACAATCCTCTTGTCTCAGCCTCCCATGTTGCTGGGATTTTAGGCATGTGCCACCAAACCTGGCATTCAAATCTAGAAGGTAGAGTTCAACAGATTCAGCCAGTTGGACATCCTGGTGTGATGCAGTGGCCTATGAGAAGAAGCCTGTCTTCAGACTACCTTAGTTCTAGCTCTAGTCCTAGCCTGCCCTTTATCACGAGTCTTGGAAAACCTGAACTGTTCTGCAGGATAAAGGGGTGAGGAATATGGAAACCTGAAGGAAAATCCAGGATAGGGAGATGTGAACTGACTGACAGTGTGCTGTGCAAGGGAAAGGACAGATAAAAAGTGATCCATTGAGTGCTACAGGTAAAAGAGGACTTGGGGGGAAAGAATTGCTCCTGCAGGAATCCACGTTATTTGGCCTCAGATGGGTGGTGCTAACTTCCTCCTCCATCCCTCTAGGGTACCTTCCATACCTTTAGTAAGTTCTGCATTTCACAAGGATGCTATATATATTTTAGTTGTAGTTGGACACAAAACCTTTATTTTATTTATTTATTTTTTATGTGGTGCTGAGGATCAAACCCAGTGCCTCATACATGCTAGGTAACCTCTCTACTGCTGAGCCCCATCCCTAGCCCCATAAGGATGCTTTTGTGGGTATGGGTTCGTGAGAGGGAAATGGAGGAGGGTGAGGGGACAGCTGACTTCTCTTCTCAGTCTGATTTCTGGTTTTCAAGGCACTCTATGTGTCTGTCTGTGTGTTTGACCCTACATTGTCTAACAGTGAAATTATGTAACTAATAGGCCTGTGACAAAGTGCACATTGCTGTGTGTCAGCATTCATTGTGATGCAGATTGTTTTAGTGTATCTATGTGTGTGTGTTGTATTTGAATGTGTAAGCTGCGCTCAAGAGTGTGGGTGTTTATGTCAGAGTGTGAGGCTTGTAGCAGGCTGTATTTTCCATGAGGTGGCTGCCATGACACAGCTCATTGCTCATGTTCTTTTTATAACGCAATGGTGACCCTGCTTTGATGGAGA